AAAGTGAACATAACTAGAGACACAAAAGACCTGTACCAAGAAAACTACAGAATATTTCTTCAAGACAGAACTAAAGAAATAGAAAAATGTGCCCTGTTCATCGTGAAAATTATAATCCTACCAAAAGTAGTCTACATGTTCAATGCAATCCCAATCTAAATACCAAATTCATTTTTCAAGCAGAACAGAAAGGAAATTGCCAAGTTTATATGCACAGGAAAGTGATCCTGAATAAGCAAAGCACTTTTGAAGAACTTTTTGAAAATCAGGTGGGAAGCATAGCACTTTTTCACCACAGGACCTACTATACAGTTGGCAGTAACCGAAACAGCCTGGTACTTGTACAATGACAGACACATAGACCAATGGAACAGAATTGAGAACCCAGAAATGGACTCAGTTATACTCAACCAATACTCGACAAGGAAATCAAATGTATCAAATGGGGAAATTAGAACCTCTTCAACAAATGGTGCTGGCAAAATTGAACTGCTGCCTGGAGAAGGCTGAAATGGGATTCACATTTCAACTCATACACAAATATCAACTCAAGGTGGATTAGAGCCCTGAGAGTAAAGCCTCAAACCATAAAGTTCATGAGAGACAAACTGGGATCAAGCACAGAAAGCCTAGTCTATGGTATTAATAGACTCTCAAATACAGCCTGAAATGCACAATCTGGACAGGAAAAAAATTGATGAATGGGACCTTACTATATTCACACAATAGAATACTACATTGCATCGAAAAACAAGGAATTCATGAAATATTATTCAAAATGGGTGACCCTGTAGGACATTATGCTGAGTGAAATATCTCAATCAGTAAAGGACAAATACTGCATAGTGCCACTGTTGTAAAATGGGGCGGCCATCAGGGTTGGGGAGAGACTGAGAGCGATGGGACAAATTATGTATACTGCACTGAAACAGATGAGGGAGAACACTGTTTAAAGGGGATACATGATTAAGTATTATTGCCATGACAGGAGTCCAGAATGAAGGCTGCATAGTGGAGTGGACTAGGGGGAGGGATTGTATAACAATGAAAGAATTTTTCTTTTACTTTTCAAAGAGCAGAGCAAACTGGGAGGGAGGTTGGGCAGGGAGACAAGTGCAACAATGAATGAATGGAAATCCAAAGTCTCTGTAAATTCTCATTAAAATTAATAGTAATAAAAAAGGGGAAGCAAAGATTAAATCCCGCTGTGCATCAAAAACATTTCTCAATAGATCAAAAAGAAAACCCGGGGGAAAAAAACATTTGGCAACACCATCTCAGACACGGGTCTCATATCAAAAGTTTACTGAATTCACTTAGGGATGGGTAAAGGAAAGAGGAAAGATATGCTGTTAAAAACAATGTATACAAATTTTATAAGTAAAATAGGATAAAATAAAATACACAAACCTAACAACAACAACAAACCAAACAAACCTTGTGATACTGCCTCATGAACAACAAAATAGATACAGCCCATGGGCCAGTCAATTCTGCACCATGGACTATCCAAAAAAAGAAAGAAATCGTCCCGAAATAAGTATAGCCAGAAGGCTTTTTATGAGTGAAAATGCTGAGACTTCACCTTCACATACTTTAGGTGTGTTCTTTGGAGAAAGACATCAAGCTTAGAAAAGGAAGGGGTTCAGTGAATAAAAGGAAAACTTCTCAGAGGGTTGTGTGACATAGTAGATTCAACAGGGGGCGCAAATGTAGCAGGGATTGTGAAGGTGCGGGCACAGGCTGCTGATCTGTCTGACACAATGTGGTTATCGGTCAGAACCAACTGGAAGCACCTTAACAAAAACAGTTTTGGTTGCTCGTGGGAATTTTTAAGTCTCCTTGCTAAGTTGTCTTTAGTAGCAACATAGATACGTTCTTGGAGAAATATCTCAATCTTTTGTACACAGATTTTAGAACAAATCTTATTTCCAAAATGGAGGGAGGGGAGCTTATGGTATCTGGTAGGGCCTCCACGAGAAAAAAGACTGATAGCACAATTACAAAATGGGCAAAAGATGTGGAAAGAATTTTCACAGAGGAAGGTATTCGGATGGCCAATACATTCATTAAGAAATGCTCAAAGTCACTGGCAATAAGAGAGATGCAAATCAAACCCACAATGAGAGACCATCTCACTCCAGTAGTAGTGCCAAAGTTTAACAGGACAATAAGTGATAAATTTTGGAGAGGATGTGAAGAGATAGGAAATCTTAAACATTGTTCGTGGGACTGTAAAATGATACAACCAATCTGTAAGGCAGTATAGTGTATCCTCAGAAAGCTGAGCATAGACATTCCATATGACCCAGCTATTCTACTGCTTGGAATATACCCTAAGAAAATGAGAACTGAGGCACAAATAGAGACTTACACACTAAAGTCCATAGCAAGTACTATTCACCATTGCCTGAACATGGAAACAGCCAAATTGTTCAACCACATTGAATAGATTAGGAAATCATGGTACATTTATACAATGGAATACTATGCAGCAAGCAGAAACAATGATTTTTTTAAAATACTAACTAAATTGGGAGGGACTAGAGAGCATTACACTAAGTGAATCAAGTGTCCCGTAAGGACAAATACTGTATAAGACCATTTTTGTAGAATATACATGAAGATCCAAGGGATGGGGAAGGTGGGAGCAGAGAGGTGAGAATAGGTGGAGAATGAGAGGTGTGGTGGTTGGTTAATCAAATGTTTGCAAATTTGATGGGTGGAGGGAAATGGGGCTAAAGGAAATGGGAAAGGTCTGGTATGAAAAACAATGTATATGAACTTTGTAAGTGAACCCGTATAAAAGAAAAATGTTATTTATTTTAAAAAATATATATCTTTATAAATATGTATATATAAACAGACTAAAGTGCTCCTGATACAGGCCATGGCCTGTGCAATCACTTGCTATGCATCAGAGAGCTGGGCAATGACTAGTTTTGATAGAAGGAAAATTGATGCCTTTGAGCTGTGGTGCTGGAGAAGAGTATTATGGCTTGTTAAGAAAACGAACAGGTTTGTCTCAAAGAGGTTTCAACCAGGCTGCTCCTCAGAGACAAGAATTCGGAAGCTTTGTATGACATACTTTGGACATGTTGCAAAGAGGGACCAGTCCTTGGAGAGGGACATCATGTTTGGGAGTGTGGAGGGACAGCGCAGGAGGGGAAGACCCTCTATGAGGTGGATTGATTCAGTGACTGGGTAATGGGAGTAGGTGTGTCGGAGACAGTGAGATTAGCACAACATATAGCAGGTTTTAGGGCTGTTGTACATAGGGACATTATGAGTTGCAGGTGACTCGATGGTATGTAACAACATACATAGTACTGGCATATATAATTCATATATATATATGAATGAATGAATAAGCTATATCCCTTAGGAGACGAGAACACACGGCAACAGGAGTAAGGTGTACCTTGACGTAGGTGCGCTCCGTCTCTAGGAGCTCGCAGATGACCTTGCGAAGCTTATCAGCATCGGTGAGCTGTCTCATGGTGGCCAGCTGAGGCCCCGTGGAGTCCTGAGGCGAAGGGCTCTGGTCAGAGGAGCTCATCTCATGTAGGCTGCGGCAGAAAGCGGCCACCTGCTCCGTACTCTGCACAGATTAAAAGGCAAGGCAGATGCTGTGAGTCCTGATTAAAGGGCCTTTCTCAACACCTGTCTCTCCCGAATATGCTCATCCTAGTTAACAAGCCATCACAGAAGAATCATAACTCATGTGTTCTCAATTGCTTCATATATTGGATGCTCATAAAATGCTCAAAACCACCATAATAATAGCACCTTTACCAATGGCTCTCAAGCCAATAACGATACATAGTGAACGTGTGACAGCAGAACTGTGCTCCCCAGGATTTTCAGTGGCTAATTTTATAGAATGTCATCACCAAGTCTTCCTTTGAAGGTTCCTCTGGGCAGATGCGAACCTTCAATCTTTCAGTTAGCTGAGTATGTGAACCATTTGAATGACACTGACAATCCATAATAATGATAATTAATAATAATAATAGCAGTATTTACTGAAATTCTGAATACCAGATACTAAATCTGGTCTGAGGTGCTTAATCTCCCACTATATATGGTGAAGAAAGGCTATTATCATTTCCAATTAGCAGCCAAGAAAATGGAGATTCAGAAAGGTTAAGTAACACATCCATGATTACAGAGCTAGTAAGTGGCCGAGCTGGGATCTGGATGTGAAACTTTGCCTCCAGAGACTATATAACCAGAACAATAGGTTATGAGTGAGATGGAGACACAGGGAAGCAAGTTCATTTTCTACAAATAATTGGCTTAATCATCAAGCTCAGTCCATTCAGGGCATTTGGTACATTATCTGCTACACTTTGCAATGCTGGAGACCCTTTCACAGGTACAAGTCTTTCAGTTTCTGCTAAAAATTGTTACTGAAGTATTTTCATAAACAAAGACATACAACCATTAAAAGAAAAATCTTATTCAGCCAGAAAGAGAAACGGTATTGTGATACATGCTACAAAAAGAAAGAATTTGAAAAACCATCATGCTGGGTGAAGGAAGCTCACTGCCATCAATTTGGAACCAACTCAGTTGATCATTCAGCAGGTTTTGAGAGGCTGTAAACTGTACCACTTTTCCCCATGGAGTAGCTGCTAGATTTGAACCATCCATCTTTGGGTTGGCAGCACAACTTCCTTACCCACTGGGCCACCAGAGTTCCCAGAGTGAAGTCGGTAACAAAAGCACAAATTATTATATGATACCAATCATATTAGTCTAGGTAAATGTACAAAGATGAAAGTTTATCTCTTATCTTAGACAAGTGGAAGAGAGAAATTGAGAACTGTTGCTTTAGGGATTTGGGGTTTCTATAGAGGTGATAAAAAAACTGGAAACTAACAGATGCCCAAAGTAGTAAATGTAACTAAATTATACATTTAAAATAGCTGAAAGGCCAAACGCTTTTAGTATATACATTTTTATAATGAGAAATTTTAAAAAATAAACATACAACTAAAAACCTACCAAACAATAAAGAACTTTCTCAAGGACAGGAATGAGAATAAGAATGAATGAATAAGGTAAGTTGGGCCCTGAACTTAACCTCAAGCATTTTTACTTCCAACTGACCTCTCCTGGATGATTCAGGTAAGGATTAGAAAGGCTGAGGAATATTTTGTCACATCTTTTAAAACTTAGGCTCCTAAGATTCCAAATTCTAACTTTCCAAGTGATGAAAACAGTTCTTTAAAATTATACCAGCCATTCTTCACCCTGACAGGATACTGAGCTAATCAGGGAGCTTGAAATCATCCCAGTCTCTGATCAACACCCAGACCAATTCAGTCAGCATGTCTGGGGGTGGTGCAGGCGCCAATACTCTTTAGCAAGGCTTTGAACCAGTTTAATTCACTTTAACATCCAAAAGAACTTACATTTCTACTGCAATATACTGAATTAGAACCATTCTAACAAGATTTCTAGATGTATTGTTATGGACCCATAAGAATCATCTAGGAATCTGTAAAGGTCATATGGGGATTCTAGGTTGGGAGCCCTGGAAAAGGAGACTTGGAAGAGGCTGAGTAAACTATAACAAGAGCATAATATGAGGAACTGTGTTATTATCACAAGAGTGGAGAGCAACACATATTCAAAGTGATACAAACTGTGCTGCAATCCCCAAGGCACACAGTTCAAGGCCACCAGTTGCTCAGCAGGAGGACTGGCAATCTCCTCTCATGCGATTAACTGTCTCAGAAAACCCACGGGAGGGCCAGCTATGGGTTGGTTCTGACTCAGTGGTCCACAACAACAATAATAATAACTCTAGTCTTAAATATTAAGGAGAATTACAAGTTGAGGTATTAACCAAAAGGCTGGAATTTTGAATCGGCCATTCTCCGTACAGGAGAAAGATAAGGCACTTCTCTAGTATAACAATTACAGCCTCAGAAGTATAATGAAGGGTGGAGATGAGTCAGAATCCCGGTGAGAGTGGTCACTCTTCAGGGTTCTCTAAGCAATGTTTTTCAGACACAATACATTCTCAAGGTATGCTGATACAGGTGTCCACTTAGTGAAGCTCATACAGTGGGGTGAATTGTGTGGTAAGTGACCTGCATATAAAAGGTATTTTAAAAATATTCTTTTTAACAAAAGCTTGGTTTAGTAGAAATACACTTGGTAATTTATTAGTTACGTTAGGATTTTACTAACTCAAAGTTATCCTTCACTATATAGACAAAGACATCTTTGTCTTAAAAAGAAACATTCAATTGAACAAAAATGTTTGCACATCCTGTAGATGATCTGATGGAAACTGTAAGCACGTATATATAATAAAGTGTATAAAGGTATGTAACAGTCATGATAGGAATGGAGGGGGGAGCCCTCACCAAAATGAAAATTCCACCGACAAGGCTGACAGCTGACCACTAAAAAACAACTACCTACCGAGACCCCTATCTTTTCCCAAATTCTCCTAAATTTCTCTGAAAAGACATTTGGCAAAGCCAACTAATACACCAAATATATAACTGGTACCTTCATTTACCGAAAGCTTTTCTAGATGCCCCAGTTGCAGCCATAGTTGTCTGTCCTTCATACATGAATACAAATTTATGTCAAAGCTACTACTCATGAGAAACAGACCCACCATCACAGTCTCATTAAAGGCACAGAAAAGCTCCCTGCAGTTTTATAATTCCATGAATGGAATGCATAAATATTGACATATGAGGCTTTGGTGAAATGAGGAGGATTGGCTTGGGACATTTTGAGTCACACAATCACACGATCTGATCTACTACACTAGAGATGCAATGAATCAGATCAACTACACCTGTGGAAGGAATCGCTGGAGAAGCTCAGTATCAGCTGTGGAAATGAGGCCAGGGGCTGATTGTGGAACAGAACACCAACTACTCATACGCAAGTTCAAACTAAAGCTAAAGAAAATAAAATGTAATCCACAGAAACAAAATTTTACCTTGGGTCTAACCTACCTGGATTTAAAAATCACCTCAGCAACAGGTTTGAAGCCTGAATGCTAATGTACGAAGACCAGATAAGCTTTGAAAGAATATCAAGAATGTCATTCATGAAGAAAGCACGACGTCATTGTAAAGACAGAAGAGGAAGAAAAAACCAAGATGGATGTCAGTAAAGACTCTGGGTATTGACTAGAGTACTGAGAAGCCAAAGCAAAGAGAAGGAATCAGGAAATTAAGGAGCTGAACAGAAGATTTCAAAGGTCAGCTCGAAAAGACAAAGCAAAGTATTAAAATGAAATGTGCAAAGAGTTGGAAAACCAAAAGGGCCAAACTTGCTCAACATTTCTTAAGCTGAGAGAACTGAAGAACAAATTCAAGCCTCAAGTTGCAATATTTAAGGATGCTAGGGGCAGAATACTGAATGATCCAGGAAGCATCAAAAGATGGAAGGAGTACACAGAGTCACTGTAAGAAAAAGAAATGGCTGTCACAGAAGAATTTCAAAAACAGCATATGATTAAGAGGCAATGGTGACGAAAGAGGAAGTTCAAGCTGACCTGATAGAGTTGGCAATGAAAAAGGCCTCAGGAATTGATGGGAGACCAACTGATATTTCAACAGATAGATGCTGCCCTGGACATGCTCACCAACTTGTGCCAAGAAATCTGGAGGACAAACTACCTGGTGAACTGACTGGAAGAAATCTACATTTGTTCCTATTACAAAAAAGAGTGTGAAAATTATCAAATAATATAATTGATATCATATGCAAGTAAAATCCTGCTGAAGATTATTAAAAAAATGATTGGAACAGTAAATCAACAGAGCACTATGAGAAATACAGGCTGGGTTTAGAAGAGACTGTGGCACCAGAGACGTTATCACCAACGTCAGATGCATCTTGGCTGAAAGCTATGGGTACTAGAGGAATGCTTATCTGTGTTTCATTGACTATACAAAAAATTTGACTGTGTAGATCACAACAAATTATGGTTAATCCTGAGAAAAACTAGAATCCCAGAACACTTACTCGATTGTGCTTCATATGAAACCTGTATTTGGACCAGGAAGCAGTCCTCAGAACAGCAAGTAAACACTGCATTGTTCAAAATCAGGAAAAGAGTGCATCAGGGGTGGATCCTGTCTCCACACCTTTTCAATCTGTATGCAGAACAGATCATTCGGGAGGCTGGACTTTATGAGTAGCATCTGGATTGGAGGAAGACTCACCAACAACCTATGTTAGTTAGGTAGATGACACAACTTTGCTCGCAGAAGCTGGGGAAGACCTGAAGCATTTGCTGCAGGTCAAGGACTGTAGGCTTTAGTATGGATTGAAGCTCAACATCAAGACAAAGATTCTCACCACTGGGCCAACAGGCAGCACCATGACAGATGGAGAAGAGGTTGTTAACTTCAGCTTGTTCAGCTCCATAATCAACACTCTTGGTACCAGCAGCCAAGAAATCAAAAGATGAATTACTCTGAGGAAGGCTGCTGTCAGAGACCTCTCTCTAAGTTCTGAAGAGCAACAAAGTCAGTTTGGAGACTAAGGTATGCCTGATTCAGGCCAGGTTCCTCAAAATTACTTGTTATGACAGAAGAAGAATTGATGTGTTTG